TGCCCCATGACCATGGTCACTGAATTTCCATATTTTCAATGCACCCAAAAATACCTCATTATGGCATAAATTTAGAAAAACTTGAAGCTCAAAAGCTTATATTTCGGAAGAGCTTTTATAAATTTTTAAAGTGTTTAAAACTCATTCTGAAAAAAGCTTCTAAGTCTCTTTAAAAAATATTTTTAATGCATAGGCCCAACGAACTTTATAATTTATATTTTTTCCCATCTTGTCTGCCAAGCTTTCAAAGCTTTAGAGGCATTCTTAAAAAGATATTTTATTTCATTCTAAAAAAATAAATAAAAATGAAAAAATTCAAAATATTCGTTTTAAATATATATTTTTTATTTATAATTCCATACATCGTCCATAGATTTTTTTTTTAATTTCTTGCAAAGCTTTCACTTTAAGAACTTTTCAAATAATGCTAGTGTAGTAGGTTTCTTTTTTTATTTATTTTTTTAAAGATTAGATGATAACATGGCTGAAGAGAAAAACTAAGCATTTGTTTATTATTATTGTTGTTCCTTCTTCTCTTAATTTTCTCCTTCTCATTTCAGTGATTACAAATACATAAAAAGTTTATATGTTGTTATTTGTTTTTGTAGTTTTGAACTTAATTTTATAAATTTTTGTTAAATACTTAGAATAGTGCTTTATTATTTTTATTTAATTCTACTTTAGTTTATCTACGGGGCTTAAAGAAAAAAAAGCTTTATAATGTTAAGAGGCCTTGTTGGAAAATGAAAATATGATTTCAAATATAGATGGCGTTAGTTGGCGTAGTTATAAGATATAGAGTGTGTGGAGAGAGAGGGAGAGAGATATAGATAGAGAGTGGATGTTTTGTAAAGTTGTGGGAATAGTTGAGTGGGGGTAGAGAGAGAGAGTGTGTGTGAGAGTGAAATGAATAATTCAGACTCTGTGTGGATGTGTGTGGCAAATTTGTTCTCTTTGTTGTGTGGATGTTAGAAGTCTTTGTTTGGAAACGCAGCATGACGTATAGAGGGAGTTAAGGTCCCTTAATGAAATAGAGAGCTCATTGGTGGTTTTTATAAGGGTTTGTTTCTGTGTGTGCCGTTGGCTAGCTTATCCTCTTTTCAAGTTTTACCAATAAAAAATAAATGAAATGTAGGTCTCTGTAATTTTCCTACACTGGGTGATAGAAGGAGTAGAAGTCATACGATTGTGTCTCTATTTGGCTGACAAGTTTTCCTCATTGCTGTGTGGGTTTGAGAAGGTCTTGATTGACAGAAGGGGTGGATTGATATATTCCATCTTCACAACAGATCTCGTGTTGATGAAAATATTGAGATGTGCCAAGTCTGAATGGAATTAAATCTTAATTTGGCGTTGTAAGAGCTTCACGGATATTCAAAATTTTGATCCTTTGTGGGGGAGGTACCAGAAGGAGTGGACCGATATTTCCCATCTTTACACCAGATCTTAGGTTGGTAGAAATAATGGGATGTGTGAAATTTGAAGAGAATCGGATGCTTATTTTGGATTTTATAATCGTTTTGGTTATTCAAAATTATGACCCTTTGTGGGGGAGGTACCGGAAAAAATGGTCCGATCTCTACCATCTTTATAACAGATCTTAAGCTGATGGAAATATAGAGATGTGCCAAGTCTGAATGGAATCGGATGTTAATTTCGCGTTTTATGAGCTTCTTGGATATTCAAAATTTTAAGACCTTTATGGGGGAGGTACCAGAAGGAGTGCGCCAATATATCCCATCTTCACAGCAGATCTTGTGTTAGTGGAAATAAAAGGATGTGTGAAATTTGAAGACAATCGGTTACTTATTTCGGATTTTATGCTCGATTTGGTCATTCAAAATTTCGACCCTTTGTGGGGGAGGTACCAGAAGGAATGGTCCGATACATTCGATCTTCACAGTAGATCTTGTGTTGGCAGAAATAGCAGGATGTGTGAAATTTGAAGACAATCGGTTGCTTATTTCGGATTTTGTGCTCGTTTTGGTTATTCAAAATTTTGACCCCCTTGTAGGGGAGGTACCAGAAGGAATGGTCCGATCTCCCCCATCTTCACAACAGATCTTGTGTTGATAGAAATATTGAGATGTACCAAGTCTGAATGGAATCGGATGCTTATTTTGGATTTTATGCTCGTTTTGGTTATTCAAAATTTTGACCACGTTGTGGGGGAGGTACCAAAAGGAATGCCCCGATATTTTCCATCTTCACAGCAGATCTTGTGTTGGTAGAAATAATGGTATGTGTGAAATTTGAAGCCGATCGGACTCTTACTTTGCATTTTATATAAGTTATAATTATTCAAAATTTTGACCCTTTGTGGGGGAGGTACCAGAAGGCATAGTCCGATCTCTACCATCTTTATAACGGATCTTGTGTTGATCGAAATATTAAGATGTGACAAGTCTGAATGGAATCGGATGTTCATTTCGCGTTTTATGAACTTCTTAGTTATTCCAAATTTTGACCCCCTTGTGGGGTAGGTACCAGGGGGAATGCCCCGATAGATTCCATCTTCACAGCAGATCTTGTGTTTGTAGAAATATTGGGATGTGTGAAATTTGAAGAGAATCGGGTGGTTATTTCGAATTTTATGCACTATTGGTTATTCAAAATTTTGACCCCCTTGTGGGGGAGGTACCATAAGGAGTGCCCCGATATATGCCATCTTCACAGCAGATCTTGTGTTAGTAGAAATAATGGTATGTGTGAAATTTGAAGCCGATCGGACTCTTACTTTGCATTTTATAAGAGTTATAATTATTCAAAATTTTGACCCTTTGTGGGGGAGGTACCAGAAGGCATAGTCCGATCTCTACCATCTTTATAACAGATCTTGTGCTGATGGAAATATAGAGATGTGCCAAGTCTGAATGGAAACGGATGTTAATTTCGCGTTTTATGAGCTTCTTGGATATTCAGAATTTTAAGACCTTTATGGAGAAGGTACCAGAAGGAATGGTCCGATCTCTACCATCTTTATAACAGATCTTGTGCTGATGGAAATATAGAGATGTGCCAAGTCTGAAGAGAATCGGATGTTAATTTCGCGATTTATGAGCTTCTTGGGTATTCAAAATTTTGACCCCCTTGTGGGGGAGGTACCAGAAGGAATGCCCCGATATACTCCATCTTCACAGCAGATCTTGGGTTAACAAAAATATTAAGATGTGTGAAATTTGAAGAGAATCGGATGCTTATTTCGAATTATATGCCCGTTTTTGGTTATTCAAAATTTTGACCCTTTGTGGGGGAGGTACCAGAAGGAGAGCGCCGATATATTCCATATTCACACCAGATCTTAGGTTAGTAAAAATAATAGGAAGTGTGAAATTTGAAGCGAATCGGATGCTTATTTCGGATTATATGCTCGTTTTGGTTATTCAAAATGTTGACCATTTGTGGGGGCGGTATCAAAAGGAGTGGTCCGATCTCTACCATCTTTATAACAGATCTGGTGTTGATAAAAATATTGAGATGTAAGAAATCTGAATGTAATCGGATGATAATTTGGCGTTCTATGAGCTTCATGGATATTCAAAATTTTGTCCCTTTATGGGGGAGGTACCGGAAGGAATGGTCCGATCTCTACCATCTTCACAGGAGACCTTGGGTTAGTAGAAATAATGGGTTGTGTGAAATTTGAAAAGAAACGAATGTTTATTTCGGATTTTGTGCTCGTTTTGGTTATTCAAAATTTTGACCCTTTGTGGGGGAGGTACCAGAAGGAATGCTCCGATATATTCCATCTTCACAGCAGATCTTGTGTTAGTAGAAATAATCGGATGTGTGAAATTTGAAGAGAATCGGATGCTTATTTCGAATTATATGCCCGTTTTGGGTTATTCAAAATTTTGACCCTTTGTGGGGGAGGTACCGGAAAAAATGGTCCGATCTCTACCATCTTTATAACAGATCTTGTGCTGATGGAAATATAGAGATGTGCCAAGTCTGAATGGAAACGGATGTTAATTTCGCGTTTTATGAGCTTCTTGGATATTCAAAATTTTAAGACCTTTATGGAGAAGGTACCCGAAGGAATGGTCCGATACATTCCATCTTCACAGTAGATCTTGTGTTGGCAGAAATAGGAAGATGTGTGAAATTTTAAGAAAATCGGATGCTTATTTCGGATTTTATGTTCGGTTTGGTTATTCAAAATTTTGACCCTTTGTGGGGGAGGTACCAGAAGGAATGGTCCTATACATTCCATCTTCACAGCAGATCTTGGGTTAATAAAAATATTGCGATGTGTGAAATTTGAAGGCAATCGGACTCTTACATCGCATTTTATAAGATTTATAATTATTCAAAATTTTGACCCCTTGTGGGGGAGGTACCAGAAGATGTGAACCAAAATTGTCCATTTTCGCACCTGACCTAGAACTGATGCAAATATTAGGATTTGCAAAGTTGGAGCCAAATTGGATTATCCTTTCTCTTTCTGTGCAGTAAAATATTTTTTTGGAAAATTTCAACCTTTTGTGGGGGAGGTACCAGAAGGAGTGGGCCGATATGGCCCATCTTCGAACTTGAACTAATTTTGATAATAATATTGCAGTGTACCAAGTTTGGGAGGAATCGGATACTCCCTTCGATAGCTATCCTCAGCATCAGCCAGACCGACAGACAGACAAGACAGATTTGGTCCAAAGAGATCTAGGGTCTAAAACCGTCACTTCGATGAGGCCGTATCAAATGATATAAACCATCTCTAGCCACATGGCTGAGGGTATAAAAGGTGTAGTTCAGACTTCCTTTTTAATTTTTTCTAGAGGTATTGAAAGTGAAAAAGGCTAAGAAAATGTAGATGGCGTTAGTCAGTTGTGGTTGTGTGTGAGAGAGAGAGAGAGAGAAAGAGGAACTTGTTGTCTGAAATACAGATGGAGTTAAATGGTTGATGTTTTTGTGTGAGAAATAGAGGTTGTTGATGTTCCGCAAAGAGTTTAAGCTTAATTTAGACACTCTAGGAGTAATTGCCCCCCTGCACTTGAGAATCCCCCATTTTCTTCCCCCCTCTCAAATATCCCTGCTGTTGCACCTCACATCCTTGTGCTCTCCAAACTAATGCTCTCCGTTGATGTACCCACCACAACTATTCCCGCTATGGAAGAAATCATTTGCGGTGAAGAGTTACGACTGCGATTAGCGTGTCCGCCGCCACCACCACTACTACCATTTGAGCTAGTTTTCCTATGACCATGACTACGTTGTGATGATTTTAATCAACTTGCATTGGGCGCCATACTGGTACGTGTCAACATTTCATTATCCTCCAATTGGCTAATGGCCGTGGGTGAGCCGACATCAATGGTCGTCACCCGATTGCCACCATCTGCCATTGAGGGTAGCTTTATGATTTCCGTATCCGATTGCACTGGCATTATAATGCACACAAAGTTCTGGCCCGTCTGCGAATCGCGGGGATGCAACGTGACCGGATTGATTTTTTCCGTCTGACCCTCGGTGTAGGATTGGAAACGTTGAAATATTTCCGGGTAGTGTTTACGCAAAATGACACCACGTCTCGAGAGGATGTCTAGGATGTTGGAAAGGACCATTTCCCGTTGGGCTGTGGAGTTACGCAGCTGGGGGTTAAAGGTTAGGATGAGGACTTCAGTTGTGGGTTCAGGCACCGCAACCATGGTTACGGGCTGTTGCAACACCCCCATGGGTTGGTGTTCCAGTTCGGCGAGCACTGTTTTGCATAGCTTCAATTTGGCACAACGTGAAACCAATTGGCGTTCCCAGCGCACCGGAGCCTGGCCGACACTGGGCGCCTCCGAGACCACACATACCGCCACATAGACCAGCATCTTGGAATCGGGCCTATATTCTGTGCTGAGTTTCAGCAACTCCGAATACAGCTCCAGGCCCATTTCGGCCGGCATCAGATCCGGCCAACGGACATACGAGGCCTCACCCATACACTGGAAACCGTTCTTGATGAAACCCTCAGCCGATTCGGGCGAACGAAAGAGAATACGCACCACACCCCGACCCTGCGACAGGAAGCCTTTGCGCGCCAACAGACTCAAATGGCGCAGCGAATCGCTGTCATCCTTGCAGGAGGCTAACACTTGGCGGCACAGATTTGAGACACGGGAGTGGAGACACGCTTTACGATGCTTCTCCCAATGGGCTCGGCGACATTCACGCGAACAATATAGATAGGTACAATTGTGGCATGACTTGTAATACTTTTTGGCGTCGAGGGGCGTGGCAGTGCGATCGCACTTCGTATTTCGGCACTTGACCTGCAGCTCACCAGAGGCGGTGTTGGCGGTGGCTGCGCTGCGATTATTCGACTCTGAGGAGTCACCGAGCGAAACGCGCCGGGGTGGCAGGAACGTGGAGAGGCTGCCATTTGCTGCTGCTGCAGCTGCATTTCCCCCAGCCGCCGACGTATGGGTGTGGGTGAGGGTGGTGATAGTATCACTGGCATATGCCTTATTGGCATTTGGAGTCTGATGTTGGAACTTCTGCTCGAGTTGGTGTTGATGATGCTGCTGCTGCTGCTGTTGTTGCTGCAGCTGTTGTTGTTGCTTTTGCTGCTTCGTTGGCGCATCTCCTTCACTGCGGCGCCGCAAACGTTGTTGGTCCTCCTTGGAGATATCCAATAAAGTGGAGTTTGAATCTTGTTGTTGTTGTTGCTGACCTTGTTGTTGTTGTTGCAGTTTTTGGGTCATATATTGTTTATGATCATTAACTGTAGCGCCGCCTAAATTTCAATTTTTTTTAAAAAGGGGAAAAGAGGAGGAAAAACAAAATAAAAAAAATTCAATTAATTTTTATTCGACACAAAATCTAATTTAAAATTAAATTTTCATTCATTACAACATCTACACAACATCAAGCATTCCTTAGCTATTTTTTGGATTTTTTCTTATTTTGTTTTCTAATTTTTAAAAATTTATTTTTTTTTTTCTCTCAAAACAACATTTAACACAACATGCTTTTTGCACATTCCTAACTCTCATGGATGCAGAAAAAAATTTATCAACAAAAAATTGTATTTTTTTTCTCAAAATACACAAAAAAAAAAAAAATCAAGCTGACATTTACATACAGGGACATTGGTAAGCTTGAGAGTTGTTTTTCTCAGTGTATGTTTTTTTTTTGGTTCTTTTTGATTTTTTGGAAGAGTTAATTTTTAATTTTTTAGAAATTTTTAAAATTAGGGTTGCCACTTTGATCGAATATTTTGTTGATGAAAAAAATTGGTCGGCTTTTTTTTTCTTTAAAAATTTCTGATATACATAATATTAATAATACAGAACTGACTGTCTAAGAAAACTATAATTTGTAGGATTTTTTTAAATCAGGGTTGCCACTTTGGTCGTTTTTTTTCTGTAGATGAAAAAAATTGGTCGATTTTTTTTCGTTGAAAAATTACTAATTTTATGCAATATTTTGATTTGGCGAAGAAAGGTTTTAATTTTGGACGGAACTTTGTTGGTGAAAAAATTGGTCGATTTTTTTTTCTTTTAAGCCATATTATGACATATCGCTTGTCTTAGTACAAAAATTTGGTCGGTTTTTTTCTTCCAAAATTATTATATTAATATTGACTAAATAAGCTATCTAAAAAAATCTATTAATTTTACGAAATTTTTTAATTTAGGGCTGCCACATTGGTCGAATATTTTTTTTGATGAAAAAAATTGTCCGTTTCTTTTTTTCTTTAAAAAAATCATGATATACATAACATAAATAATACACAAGTATTTATACTGTCTAAGAAAACTATGAATTGTAGGAAACTTTTTTAAATTAGGGTTGCCACGTTGGTCGTTTTTTCTGTTGATGAAAAAAAAATGGTCGGTTTCTTTTTTCTTAAAAAAATGATAATTCTATGGAATTTTTTGATTTGTGTTGCCATTTCGGTCGGAAGCTAAATGGTGAAAAAATGGTCGTTTTATTCTCTAAAAAATTACGCATTGTAAACCATATTATGACATTTTAATCGCTGGTCTTTAATTTTTTTTTTTTTTTTTTCATTTTAAATTACTCTTTTTTTACAATTTAATGAATTGAATGAAACATTTTCTGTCTAAAAAAATTTGGTCGGTTTTTTCTTCGAAAATTATTATATTAATAATACAAAATTAATTAGACTGTCTAAGAAAACCATGAACTGTAAAGAGTTTTTAGGGTTGCCACTTTGGTCGTGATTTCTGTTGAAGAAAAAATTTTGGTCGGTTTTTCTTTCTTTAAAAAATTAATAATTCTATGGAACTTTTTGATTTGGGGCGGGAAATTTATTCGTGAAAAATTTGTCTTTTTTTTTAATTATGCATTTTAAACAACAAGATGACAGTTTAATCGCCGGTCTGGCATTTTTTTGTAATTTTTGGTAAAAAAAAATTAGTCTTTGTTTTTTCTTCAAAAAGCTTTTGAATCCATTTTCGGTATTGTATATCGTTGTTATTTTCTGTTGATTAATGATTTTATGAAATTATTTGATTTGACGCATAAAGGTTGCCATTTTGTCCGGAACTTTTTTGGTGTAAAAATTGGTCGGTTTTTTTTTTCTTTCAAAATTATGCATTTTAAGCCATATTATGACATATTTATCGCTGGTCTTTTAATGCTTTCATTGCAAATGACTCATGTTTTTGAAATTTCATGACTATTTCAATAAGGAATGCCATTATTGGGAAACATTGATGAAAAAATTGGTCGTTTTTTTTCTTAAAAAAAAAAATAAATTATGATATATATAATATAAATAATGCACAAGTGTTTAGACTGTCTAAAAAAACTATGATTTGTAGGAATTTTTTAAATTAGAGTTGCCACTTTGGTAACTTTTTCTGTTGATGAAAAAAAAATTGGTCGGTTTTTTCGTTAAAAAATTAATAATTCTATAAAATGTATTGTTTTGGCGAATTAAATTGGTCAGTTTTTTGAAAAGAATTGGTCAGTTTTTTCGTCCAAAATTGTGCAAATGACTCAGTTTTTTTGCAATTTAACGACAAGGGTTGCCATCATAGGTAAATATTTTCGGTAAAAAACGGTCGTTTTATTTTTTTTTTCGAAAATTAAGTATTTTAATATTTTTTATAATTTTATAAAAAAAAAATATTTGGCGAATTAGGGTCGGATTGGTGAAAAAATTGGTCGGTTTTTTTTCTTTCAAGATTATGCATTCTAAATCATATTATGGCATTTTAATTGTTGCTCTATTATTTTTTGATTTCAAATGACTAATTTTTGCAATTTAGTGAATTTTTCAACAAGGGTTGCCGTTTTTGTTAAACATTTGCGATAAAAAAGGGGTCGGTTTGTTTTGTTTTTCTTCGAAAAATTAATCATTTTAAACCATTTTCAATATCGTCGTATTTTTTGTTGATCAATAATTATATGCAATTTTTGATTTGGTCAATTAGGGTTGCCATTTTGGCCGAAACTTTTTTGGTGAAGAAATTGGTCGATTTTTTTTCTTTCAAAATTATGCATTTTAAACCGTATGATAACATTTTTTTCGCTGGTCTTTTAATTTTTTCATTGCAATCGACTTATGTTTTTGCAATTTAATGACTTTTTCAGTAAGGGTTGCCATTGTCGGCAAACATTATCGGTAAAAAAATTGATCGGCTCGTTTATTCTTCGCAAAATTTAAAAATGGTTTAAAATTATTTTATAATTTTTTGCCGAATTAGGGTTGCCATTTTGGCCGAAACTATTTTGGTGAAGAAATTGGTCGGTTTTTTTTCAAAATTATGCATTTTAAAGCATATTATGACATTTCTATCGCTGGTCTTTTAATTTTTTCATTGCAATCGACTCTTGGTTTTGCAATTTAATGACTTTTTCAATAAGGGTTGCCATTGTTGGCAAACATTATCGGTAAAACAAAAATTTGGTCGGCTCGTTTATTCTTCGCAAAATTTAAAAATGGCTTAAAATCATTTTATAATTTTTTGCAGTTTATTGCCGAATTAGGGTTGCCATTTTGGCCGGAACTTTTTTGGTGAAAAAAATGGTCGGTTTTTTTCTTTCAAAATTACTAATTTCTAACCATATTATGACGTTTTAATCGCTGGTCTTTAAATTTTTTCATTTCAAATGACTCCTTTTTTTGCAATTTAATGACTTCTTGAACTAGTGTTGCCATAATTGGTACACATTTTAGTATAAAAAAAAATTGTTAGTTTTTTTCGAAAATAAAGCATTTTTATAATTTTATGCAATTTTTTGATTTTGCCGAATTATGGTTGCCATTTTTGTCGGAACTTTGTTTGGTGAAAAAATTGGTCGGTTGTTTTTTCTTTCAAAACTATGAATTTTAAACAATATTATGACATTTTAACAAAATAGTATGCTCATATTTTCTGTTGATGAAAAACATGTGTTTTTTTCTTTAAAAATTAAAAATTTTGAAAAAAAAATTAGTTTTTTTCCTTACAAAATTTAATCGCTGGTCTTTTAATTTGTTCATTTGACTTATTTTTTTGGCATTTTTATGACTTTTTAAAAAAGGGTTGCCATTATTGGTAAAAATTCGTGGTAAAAAATTTGGTCGCTTTGTTCCTTTTTCGAAAATTTAAGCATTTTAAACCGTTTTTATAATTTATACAATTTTTTGATTTGGCGAATAAGGGTTGCCAGAATTTTATTTGCAAAAAATGGTCGGCTTTTTTCTTTCAAAATTATGCATTTTAAATCATATGATGACATTTTATCGCTGGTTTTCAAATGACTCATTTTTTCTATTCAATGATCATTCACCGGAATGGTTTCAAATTTCGTATTTGATATTCGGAATCGGTACAACAGCTCATGGCTGGTCCAAGTCTCATGTAGCTCCGATATAACGGCTTTCTTTTAAGCGGCATTTTGCGACGGATTTTTTTTTTAATTTTCAAATTCCTTCCAAATTGTGGAGGATATTAGAAGTTCGACTCGGGGGAACTTAGCTGTTTTTTTACTTATTTACTACTTACAGAGACATTTTTATATGAGTAACTTTCCCTAGCATTTGGTAGAAAAAATCCACGAGATTTTTACTTGTTAAAAATATTTTCTGAAGATCCATCGCTACTTGTGGATTTAAAAAAATATTTTTTTTTTGACTTTTTGCAGGTCGTTAATTTTCAAAAACATTTTTCGTAAACTATTGTTCTTTGGAAATGTTCAAGGAAATATTTCCAGGAACTATCACCGCTCGGTCAGTTCCTAAAAAATATTTTTCAATATCTATTATCGCTGGATAATATTTAAATAAATAATATTTTCTCAAAAACCTATATTGAAAAGGTAGACAAATTCTGATTGTGATATAACAGATTCTAGATTTTTGAAAATAGATCGAAAGACCTATCAGTGCTCGTGGGCTTTTAAAAAAAATATTTTCTCAAGTCTTATCACAAGTCATGGATTTTTTATATATATTTTCCAGGACTTATCATAACTCGTGGAATTTTACAAAATACTTTTTGGACCTATCAAGGATTGTGGATTTGTAAAAATATTTTTCAATACTTCTTGGCTTTTTAAAAGGTATTTTCTAAGACTTATTATACGTATATATATTTTAAACGGCTATCGCCTCTCTTAGATTTTTTTAAAATTTTAGATTTTTTTTAAATATTTTTTCAAGACATATCACCGGTAGTGGGGTTTTAAATTTATTTATATATTTTTTAAAAAAATTCCAGGACCTATCACAACTTGTGATTTTTTTAATTTTTTTTTTTACATTCTCTTTTTCATTAAATATTTTTCAGCGCCGAACACCAGTTAGCTTTTAGAATTTAAAAAAAAAATATTTTCAGAACTTGATATATCACAACAAATATCGCCGCTGTTGGATTTTGTCCGTGCATATATTTTTTAGAAATAGGTCACAGCTAGTGGATTTTTTATTTAAATATTTTAGACTTATAGATTTTTCAAAAATATTGTTTCAGTACCCATCACCGGTAGTGGATTTTTAAATGTATTTATTGTTTCACATCCATTACTAATCGTTATATTTTTAATATTTTTTAAACAGCTTGTGAATTTTCAAAAAATATTTTTTTTCAACGCAGATCAGCATCTGGTATTTTTAAAAACAAAATTTAAAGCTTATTGCCGCTTTTGGATTTTTTAAAAATATTTTCGCATGACCCATCACATCTCGTGGATTTTTAAGAATATCCAGGACCCAGAGCTCGTGGGTTTTTCTTTAATATTTTTTCCAGCACCGCAACTCGTGGAATTAAAAAAAAATATTTTTTCGCAACTCGTGGAATTAAAAAAAAATATTTCGCTGGACACATCACTGCTCTCGGAATTTAAAAAAAAATATTTCGCTGGACAAATCATTGCTCTTGGAATTTTTAAAAATATTTTCTCAAGAACTATCACAACTCGTGGAATTTTTAAAAATATTTTTAGGACCTATTACAGATCGTGGATTTTTAAAAATACTTTACAAGATTTATGACCGTTTTTCGTCTTTTTTTAATATTTTCCAGGACCAATAAAATTTGGGAAATTTTGATGAAATATTTTCCAGGACCAAAAAATAAAAATAAAATAAGTTTTCACAGGACCTAATGTGGATGTTTTTGAAATATTTCCAGGACCTATCGTAGGTGATAGATTTTATTGCAAAATAATTTCTAAGACCTATAGAATATCGTGGAATTTAAAAAAAATAAAAAAAAGATATTTCTTGCGGAATTTAAAAAAATATTTTGTAGGACCTATCACAGCTAGTAGTTTTAAAAAAATTTTTGCCAGGACCTATCAAAGCTCGTAGATATTTTTTTAAATATTTACCAGGACGTATGAAGGTAGTAGATTTTTTACAAAAAAAAAAAAAAAAAAAAAATCATGACCTATCGGAGGTCGTGAAAAAATATTAACCAAAACCCATCGCATGTTGTACATTTTTTATAAAAAATTTTATAACTTGTCGATTTTTAAAAAAAATATTTTTCAGAATCTTTCACAGATTGTGATTTTTTTTTTAATATTTTCTAGAATCTATTTTTTTAAATATTTTCCAGGACCTATATTGCGTTTATTAAAAATGTTTTTCAGGAACAATCACAATTTGTGGAATTTTAAGAAATATTTTTTCAAGACCTATCATATTTTTACAAAAAATTTCACAGCTCGTGGATTTTTTTAATATTTTCCAGGATCTATCGCATGGCGTAGATTTTTTATAAAAAAATTTTCCAGACCTGTAGCAGGTCGGTTAATTGAAAAAAAATATTTCGCAGGACCTATTAAAACTCGTAGATTTGTAAGAATATTTTCTCAAACCCTATCATATCTTTCCTCTTTTTTACAAAATATTTTCAGACCTATCGCAGGTCGGGTAATTTAAAAAAAATATATTCACAAGACTTATCACATTTTGTGGATTTGTTAGAAAAATTTTCTCAAGAGCTATCTCTACTACTATTCGTGTTTTTTTGTTAAATATTTTCAATACCTGCCACATCTCGTGGATTTTTTAAAAAAATATTTTCAAGACCTATTACAGATCGTGGATTCTTTAAATAACATTGTCCAGGACATATCAGAGCTCGTGTTTTTTTAAATATTTTCCATTTTTTATTATTTAATTTTTTAAAAACCTATCATCGTTCGTAGATTTTTTAAAAATATTATCCAGGACCTATTACAACTCGTGATGTTATTTTTAATATTTTGTTAAAAATTGTTTTTTTTTAATTATTTGATTTTTAGATTTTTATTTCGATTTTTAGATATTTAATTTAATTTTTTTAATATTTTTTCAGCACCGATCACCAGCCGAGAATTTTTTAAGAATTTTAATTTCAACACCTATCGTGCTCTTGATTTTTTTATAAAATATACTTTTTTCCGTGGATTTTTTTAAAATATTTGGCAGAACCTCTCAAATCTCGTGAATTTTTTAAAAAATATTTTCCCCATGCCTAACACATTTTTTTATTTGGAAGACAGGGTGGCGTATGCTTCACGTCAGTAGTTATACGTACCGAAGTACTTTCTAATTTTATCCGATTGTTACTAAATTTGTACTATTTTTTTAATTTACTATAAATATAATTCATAAGCCATATTATGGGATATATATGCATAAATAAAAGGATTAAATATTTTACAATTATTTATAGACATTTTCCAAATACAATAATAAAAAAAACAAGGACATATACATAACACAAGGGATATGTAGCAACAAAATGTAATACGATTGATTTAATTAAAGAAATTTTGAAAAAAAAAATTAAATTTCCAATGAAAACTCTCACAATGGGGGAGAGAGAATATGAAAATTTCTTTTTACAGAGTTGCCATATTTTTTGCAATTTTAAAAAAATGTCACCTTGTGAGAGTTATCATTGACTACTAATTTTTTGTATGTAATGATGATATATATGTATATAAATAAATATATATTAACAATATATATTTTGTGTTTATGTATAAAAAATATTTTTTTTTGTTCCCACTCATGTTCTCTTTTTTTTGGTTTCCGTATAAAAAACAACTTCTTTTTTTTGTATGAAAAAACATTTAACAATATTTTTTGGCTTTCTGTTGTTAAGATTTTTTTTTTTGGTTTTGAAAACACGTTTCATATTTTCTTTTTTGCATTTTTTTGTTGTGGAACAAAAACTTACAGGTGCATACCTGTGCTGGACCTAGCAAATGCGTCACTGGCTAATGAGGATGAACCTGGTGGCTGGTGATTGCCTCCAATAATCTGTTGTGGCTGTTGTTGCTGCTGTTGCAGTTGTTGCTGAAGGTGGTGGTGTTGTTGTTGTTGTGGATGTGGGGTTAGTCCTAAAAGGGAGGCTAAAACATCTTCTAGCGATGCGTTACTCAGGGAACGTTCTGGTGCTAGTTGTTGTAGTTGTTGTCAAAAATTTTGTGGTTTTTTTTTCGCAATTGTTTTTTTTGTTTTGGTTTTGATTTCAAAAATTGTTGTGGTTGCAATTTTCCATTCATATTTGGGGCATTTGGAAGGAGGGTGGTGGGGGGATGGTTGGTTGTCAAACAAATAAAGCCATAAAAATAGTAAGGAAAACATTTTTTTAAGTTAGAAAAAATGAAGACAAATTTTTTTTTTGGGGATGGATGAAATTTTGGAAAAAAAAACATTTTTTGGAACAAAATACAAAAAAAATGAAAATTTATTATTTTTCAAAACTGATGTCCAAAAATTATTTTTTTGTGATATTTCAAAGTTCTATAAGCGTTAGTTTTAGTTGATAGCACTTTTTTTAAGTCTTAGGTTTAGTTGTTTAAAAAAAACTACACTGAGAAAAATACACTGAAATATATTTTTATTTATTTTTATTTTAGAGAGGAGATAAAAATGGGGAAAATAAAGCAAAGTAGGTGCATCAAGCAGAGAATATGCTACAAAAAAATGGAAATATAAAAAAAACAAAAAACAATAAATAAATAAAAATATTTAATTTTTTTTTTTAATATTTTCTCGATTAAAAAAACTGTTTTCTTACATTTTTCACAACTCGTGAATTTTTTAAAAAATATTTTCTCAAGATCTATCACTAGTTGTGGATTTTTTAAAAATATTTTCTCAAGACCTATCACAGCTCGTGGAATTTTTAAAAATTGTTACAACTCGTGGATTTTTAAAAATTATTACCACTCGTGGATTTTAAAAATTATTACCACTCGTGGATTTTAAAAATTATTACCACTCGTGGATTTTAAAAAATATTTTCTAAGGGCGTGGATTTTTTAAAAAATATTTTTAAAAATTATTACAATTCCTAGATTTTTTAAAAAATATTTTTAAAAATTATTACAGCTCCTAGATTTTATAAAAAGTATTTCTAAAAATTATTACAACTCGTGGATTTTTTAAAAAATATTTTTAAAAATTATTACAACTTGTGGATTTTTTAAAAATTATTACAACTCGTGGATTTTTTAAAAAAATATTTTTTCAAGACCTGTTATAACTTATAACTCGTGAATTTTTATAAATTATTACAACTCGTGATTTTTTTAAAAAAATAAGTTTTCAAAACTTATGACAACTCGTGGATTTTTTAAAAATATTTTTTCAAGACCTAGCACAACTCTTGGATTTTTTTTTTAATATTTTTCAAGAACTATAACAACCCGTGGATTTTTAAAAAAATATTTTTCAAGACCTATCACAACTCTTGGGTTTTTTAAAAAATATTTTCTCAAGATCCATCACAACTCGTGGATTTTTAAAAATTATTACCACTCGTGGATTTTGAAAATTATTACCACTCGTGGATTTTAAAAATTATTACCACTCGTGGATTTTAAAAATTATTACCACTCGTGGATTTTAAAAATTATTACCACTCGTGGATTTTAAAAATTATTACCACTCGTGGATTTTAAAAATTATTACCACTCGTGGATTTTAAAAATTATTACCACTCCTGGATTTTAAAAATTATTACCACTCGTGGATTTTAAAAATTATTACCACTCGTGGATTTTAAAAATTATTACCACTCGTGGATTTTTTTAATATATTTTCTATGGAACTATGACAACTCGTGTATTTTTTAAAAAATTATTACAACTCGTGGATTTTTTAAAAAATATTTTCTATGGACCTATGACCACTCGTGGATTTAAAAAAAATTAAATTATTACAACTAGTGGATTTTTTAAAAAATATTTTTAAAAATTATTACAGCTGGTGGATTTTTTAAAAATTGTTAAAACCCGTGGATTTTTTTAAAAAATACTTTTAAAAATTACTACAAGTCGTGGATTTTTTAAAAAATATTTTTAAAAATTATTACAACTCGTTGATTTTTTAAAAATATATTTTTAAAAATTATACAACTTTAAAAATTATTACAACTCGTGGATTTTTAAAAATATTTTCTGAAGACCTACACAACTCATGGCTTTTTTTTAAATATTTCTAAGACATATCACAACTCGTGGATTTTTAAAAATAATTTCTGAAGACCTTTAACCCGTCATGGATTTTTTAAAAATATTTTCCCAAGACCTATAACTACTCGTGGATTTTCCCGAGAACTATCAAAACTAATGGATTTTAAAAAAAATGTTTTTACATTTTTCACAATTCTTGAATTTTTTAAAAATATTTTCTCAAAATCTGTCA